GTGAAAGGGGGTGGGGTAGGGGTGAGGGTGGGGTAAAAATATTGAATTTAAAAATAAACTTTAAATTATTTTTTTTTGGGGGTGGTTGGGGGGGCTGGTTTGAGGGTAGGGATCAAATAAATTGATTTTTTCAACAATTTTTTTTTAATTGGAAGGTGGAAGAGAGTTTTGGAAAATGTTTTCCTTAAGTTTTGAAGGGAAGTCATTTTCCTTAAATTTGAGAAAAATGAGTTGATTTGGAAAACATTTTCCAAAACATTTAACCCAAACCAAACATGAGAAAATTGGAAACATACCAAACACACCCTAAATCAACATTCAACTCATTTCATCAATTGCTCCGTCTGTTTTAGGAGGATCTCAATCTCAATTAATTAACTATAATAACTTAGTTGTCATTAAATATAGTATTTAGTAACAATTAAAATTATTTGTAAATGTTCCTAAAGTCTATAACGACAATGAATCTAAATTCAATAACAATTAACTAATACCGATAAAAATTTTAATACTCTTTATTAGTATGCATATTTGTTACTGTTACTGTAGTATATATTTTTTAAAAACTTGAATATTGATTAAGAAAAGTCTGACATGTCTTTTTTTTTTTTAACTGGATTAGATCAAACCATTCATTTGTTTACTTGCTGGCAATTGGGGTGCCAAATCTTGTACCACAGGTGCTGCCACAAATCATTTTTTTTTTCAAAACCAAATATTATTTAAAGATAAAGTGGTCGTTATCCATGACGTATTCAAATTCATAAATAAATTATCACATGAGAACTGATCAGCAAGGAGAAGTTTATTAAAAAATACAAGTAGAAAAAGTAAATCACATGACTAATTTTCCACTCAAATGCAATAATAATCACTATATAATACAATTGAAACTTTAATTGTCCAATTCACTATTTGCACTACAATTATTTTCGACTTGAAAAAGTAAAAACAAAAAACAAAAAACAAAAAACAAAAAACGAAAGAATAACAGCAATAACATTTTATAATTAGTGTAATCCAGCGAATAGGATTTGAAGAGGTGATGAGTATACAATTTTGATCAATGTCAGAGAGGGTGGTCAGTTGATATTATTTATCGAAAAATTATATTTTGTATAGAAAAAAATATTTGTTATGCATGCATATTAAATATTGAAAACCCTTCAAGAAATTTTTAATTTCGCTTTTGACTCCTTGTGCATGTAGAGAAGTTGTTTCCAATAAAATCTCGATTCAAATAAGACATAACAAAATTATATTCAAGTATAGAAAGAAAATATAGTAATAGAGACGTTACGCTAAAAATAATGCAAAAGAGAAATAGTAACAACAAGAATAATAAGATAATCTAAAGCAAAGAAAATGATAATAGCCAAAATATCAAAGAAATAAGATAGTAGAAGAGTAACGGTACCAATAACTGATAAGGAAAACTACACCAAAAAAATGAAAGAATAATGGGTAATATACAAAAATTCTACTAGTTTAGGAACTAATTACTTAATTAGATACACACTAGTTTGCAATATTACGAATCTTACCAAATTTTGGTGTATCCGTATTCTTCTGAATACATGTATCTTAGGATACATGAGTCAAAATTAAGTGTAATTTGTTCTAGATACATTGTATCTAAGTTGATTCACTTTTATCTGGAATACATAGACAAATCTCGCGTTCCTCCTAGCTCCCATCTCGCTCCCACTCTCATATTTGGTATCCCATATACATGCAAATTACACCAGAGAGATGTATATAGTGTGTACCTAGTGTGATTTGCATGTATCTGGGATACATAATCAAATCTCGTTCACCTCCCTCATATCTCGCTCGCCACTCTCATATCTCACTCAGGTATATGGTATCCCAGATACATGAAAATCACACTAGTTACATGTATATAGTGTGATTCACATGCATTGGTGATACATAGACAAATCTCGCTCGCCTCCCTCCCTTCTCGCTCGCCACTCTCATATCTCGCTGATGTATCTGGTATTCCATGTATATGAATATCACACTAGATACATGTATATAGTGTGTATTTAGTGTGATTCACATGTATCTGACTTGAAATCTGATATGAGATTATCAAATAGTGAGAGAAGATGTAATTATTTCAAACTATAAGAAGAATTAGTAAATATGATTGAAGTTGGGGTAAATAGATAGTTTATCCAAGAAAAATAGATAGATATAGGGTTCCATAGATATATACAGGCTGGAGCCCATTAGAAAAAACAACCTACATTATTGAACAACTTACATAAATGACTACATTTATAGGGTTATTGAAGTTTAATAGCTATAAGTATGCTATTTACT